GCAGCGGCTGGGGCTCAGGCAGCCCCTTGCTCCCGGGCTTGTGGGGCTTTTCCTGCTTTCAGCCTTGGCCCCATCCCTTTCCCCAGGGATGGATGACAGGGGGATGGATGACAGGGGGATGGATGACACCCCTCACCTGTACCTGCTTGCTGGTCCCGCCCGGAGCAGAACAGGCTTTGCTGGCAGAAGGGCTGGGAATGAGCATTGAAATCTCACTTAAACTGTTTGAACTGGTGGCGGGCGGGGGTTTTGATTTTGTTTTTAATTTCTGTTTATTTTTGCCCCTGGGGATTCATTCCCGCAGCACGTGCATTGCTTACTTTATGGAGCCTATGCTAACGAGGTTTCAGGTTTGCTGAAGGGGCGGATTTTGTCCTGATTCCAGGGTAGCAGCATTCAGGCTCTCAGTCACTTTCGGGAACCAACCCCTGTTCCCAGGTGGTTTCGGGACACACTCACTCCTGTCCCTGTGGCAGGGACCTCTCATGTCACCATGCAGCGATGTTCGCTTCTCTCCCACCCCCTTCCCTGGCCGTCCCAACCCTGGCGCGGGCGGCAGCAGGGTTTTCGGAGCAGGGACGTTTCGGTGTGTCTGGGGGAGGGTGTGCGCAATGGCTGTGTGCAATAACAGCTCCGGAGCGCGCGGCGGCGAGCAGAACAAAGCCCCTTCTGTGGCGGGGCCTCGGCCGGTGCCCACCGAGGGTTTGGGAGAGGCTCTGGCTGACCCCCGAAGGTGCCGGGGAGCCCATGGGGGTACGGCCCCACACCGGCTTTGGAAGCAGCGTGGTGCCCGAGATGTTCTGCTCGAGAGGGACGATAAGGAACTGCTGTGGCTATTCCAGATAGTGTTTTCTCAAAGAAAACCTGCAAGGCTGAATGAAAGTACAAGCTGTTTTACAGCCTCTGTTAGGGCTTCAAGGATCATGAAATAGTACTTGTGTGTAAAAGGGGTCTGGCACCCGGAGAAGGCGACCGTGAGATGGTTAAAACCTGGCTCAGGTGACGGGTGTGCGCGGCAGGCACGTGCAGGCTTCGGGCTATGCAGCAGGATGGGAGGTAGGTGACACAGTTTCAGGGAAATGCAGTTAATTAGCCCTGACACAGATACAGCCATTTCACAGCTAAGCTTGAGTCAGGATAAGCTCTCCGGGCAGCTGTGAAAATGCCTGTCAAACCGCGGCGGCAGTGAAGGGCTGAGCCGCCTCTTCTTCCTCTCTGAGACAACAGCCAGGAGAGCTTGGCCTGGGGAGGGATAGCAAACCAGGGTGCAGGGGGGCTGGACGACCTGCCGGGAGCCGCTGGAGGAGCCGCAGGGGCACGGGGACAGGTAAGGCCGGGTAAGGAGACAGACTGTACTTGTAAACCCGATTCAAGCTACGCTCATCAGGTGGACGTGCATTTTAATCAGACGCTGCAAACCCTTAACACTCTGCAGCTGATGCAGGCATGGGTTGCCAATAACAAGTGCCACCAACGCAGGGGAGGAATCTGTTTATTTTAAGATATACTCTGTTTCTGAAGAAGGATTATTTTAGCAGCCTGCAACAGAAATGTGAACCAGAGGGTTAACCTGCCCATTCGGCCTTGGCCAGCCTTGCCGATGCTCACACAAGTTTCTTGGGATAGAAAAAAAAAAAGGTCCACAATTCAAACTGTACACCTTTTTACAGGGTGCTTAGCCGGGCTCACTTTTTACACTGCTGTACATGCTTGGGATAACTAAGTGCAATGGTATTCAGAGCCAATACATCATCCCAGGCCACTAATGAAGATAAAATAAAAGCTGTGGTGAGCGGAAGCTGCACAGATACACAGGCAAATTAAGCTTATTGTGTTCCCAATACTCCAGAGTGCATTTACCAAAGAAAGAGGAGTGAAGCAAAGACAGTTCATAAACCTTCCTGGTCACGGGGCTCCCTTCTCTTACAGCAGGAAGTATCTGTCAAACCGAGTGGCTTTGCTTTGTATCAGCTCTATTTACAATTGACTTTGCAACAGTGCAATTAAATAGCTCTCTCACTTACTGAGATTGTGCAGTATTACTGGCAGATTATTTTAGGCTCTCTCACAGTAACACTGAACCACAATAGCTTTCAGGAACCAGAAACGCAGTGGCCAGCCAAAGCTTATTGCTGGTTATTACACCTGGATGTCTCTACACAGCAGCCACAACAGGGGCTACACCTGAAGTAGCCTCTAACAAACTTGCAGGGATGGGGGTAGCAGCCCCGCAGCGCAGGGCTTCCAGCAGACGCATGTCCCCAGGAGCAGGGTGAATTAGCCCACAGTGAACCGCACCGCCGGCCAGCGGGCAGTGGGGACTGTAACGTGCTCAGGCTCCCAGGAATGAGCCCGCTGAGGTTAACACAGCTCTCCTGGCTGACAATATACACTATAAAAGCAGCAGCAGCAGCCAGTGCATGCTGAAGGTGAGGAAGGAATTTAAAATGGGGGAGAAGAAACTTGAAATAGAGGCATGAGCAGAACTGCAGCCACCTCCACCTTCTGCTCTCGACTATTGCAGGGGACCGTGTGACGGAGCGAGAGAGCGCAGAGATGGCCCAGCTCCTGGGCTTGTCCCTGCCCTGCTCACACCGGTTTCTTCAATCCCCGAAAGCCCTGACGGGGCTCCAGCCGTGGGAACCCCACAGTGCTCATTAGCAGCAAACCAGTCGCACGCTCCCGCCACGCACCCCTCGTCCCCTCCCTCTCCGGGGCTGTCTCTCGGAGTCCAGGCGTGCTCAGAGCGGGATGCTTCTGACTTTTGTCGAGCCTTGGTTCCCAGCGCCACAAGCACTACCTTCTTTTTCGCATGCAGGTTTCAAGCCTTCCCAGCTCTTCGTAGGCCTGGTAGAAAACGTCAAAGTCTCTGGCGCTCCAGCCTCTCCAGACAGCCAGGCACCACTCCATGTTTTCGTTCTCAAAGCAGCACACAACTGTGTCCTTTGCTGTGAGAGCAGCATCCACCAGTGTCCTGGGAAAGGAAGAACAGAGCAGAGAAGGGCATTACAGTGGAGAGCAGCTCTGCTAACACAGCACACCACCCCTCATCTGGGAGGCACTGATTCACAAGCTCTCCTTTCCAGCTACTGAATCTCTTTTTATAAGCTGCAAATCCTTGAGAAAGGAGAGCGTAACAAAGAGAGGGATCAGAAACTATGTCACGACAAAAACAAGCGGCTTAGTGACATGGGAAGAGATTTTTAAAGGGATCCAGGTGCCTAAACATGCAGGTGGGTGCTTAAGTCTGCTGTGACATTTTGAAGTTGCTGTTAATCTCCCGATTTGCTAAATCCAGACTCTTTTGCCTGCTGCCAGCTGGGCATTTTCAAAACAGCCCACATCATGCCACAGCTAGCAGGCTGCTGAGAGCCTCCGCAGCCTGAAATGCAGTGTGGAAGTGGGATGGAGCCCCGCTCTGCCTGCTCAGGGTATGAACCCCGAGTCCCGATCAGCAGGCATGGCCACGGCAACAGCCCAGGGACCCACAAGGTTCATGCAGAAGGAGTCCTGCGTGACAGCATCGTGTTGCATGTGTGTCCCTTCATGGTCCCTGAGCATGTTACCTGATCAAACAAGAGCAGTTGAAGCTGGCCCTGCAGACACGTCAGAGGGAGGGGGCCAGGTAGAAGATAACACTTGTGTCCTTGCAGGGTTTGAGGGAACCTTGCTGGGCTCTTTCCACCACTCCAATAGCCCATGGGGGAAGACTGACCAAACTGTTTCCCCAGAAAGGCCCCTAGACCTTGGTGGGGAGCACTGGCAACAAGGGCTGTCCTTGCAGATGGTTTTTAACCACAAACTGCCCCTAAGAAGCCACCTTCTTTTCTTCGCCTCCCTACCAGGCTCTGCACTTGGAGGGGCTTGGAGGAGGCAGGCACTAGTGGCTGGTCTTTATCCTGCTGGCAAAACAGGGCAAGTCAACGGCCACCGTGCCTGAACCAGCCAGGCTGCGAGGCAGCAAAGCAGGACAAGTCTGAGATGGCCGTGTCACCTCGCCTTAACTCCACATTTAATTTGGGTAAAGCAAAATCAACCTAAGAGTACCCGTGAACAATAAAGACAATACTCCACTCCCAACTAACTGATAGACACTCAGTTAGCAAGTAGAGGAAATGGCAGGAGCACTTTGATCTCTTGTTGTGTTTGCCCAGTGGTAATAAATGATCATTTATAATCCTTAGCACTGCTTAACCTCCATTCGTTTGGACATAAATAGTACAATCCCAGACTGGTATTTAAGTGATCAGCAGGACCACTCCCATCTCTCTAGCAGCTGTTTATTTACTTGGACTCTCGTTCATTTTAAATTAATGTATATAACTGCTCTTCCCTGTGCTCCCAGAGCCTTCCCCCGGCCCGTCACTGCTAACAGCACAAAGGTGCTCATTTAGGGCCAGAACGTCAACCTGATCCACGTCAATGCAGCCACAGACAAGCACTGCGCTCTGCATAAATACACCTCTTGTTCTTAACGCAGGGCCTGAGTCTGCCAAGCTCCAACGATCTTCTGCCAGGTGCCCTCAGAGCACTGGGAGTCAGCACCAGGCACGATCAGACCGATGTTTATTGCATTGTGCAAGATGGTCCTGCCTGTCTCATTACAGGGGTACTTGGTCTCTGTGGCTTTTGGAGACCAGACCGTGGTCGCAGTGCCTTCCCCTCACCATCTGCCATGCTATAAGAGCATGCACATGCCTCGATGTGCAACCAGCAACCACGTCTCCTCCGGCTGGGAGCTTCTCAGATGCTGCTGGAAGCAGAGAGGAAGCTCCTGAGAGCCCTGGGACCCCAGAGCCACCCTCTGCCACCCAGTCCCCTCGAGCCCCGGGGAACTGGTGTGACAGGCGCTGCCAAGTCAGCCTCACCCGTAGGGAGCCAGTTCCCCAGCCTTCAGCACAGCGATCACTCTGCCCCGCTGGGTGCCGGATTCCTTCTCCAGTCCGATAACGATGATATCCCCTCCTCTCCTAGAAGAGAAACGAGGGAGATGTCACACCTACTCAGCAGTGGGGACTGCCGACACCTGAGGAAGATCCATGTTGGATATCCATCCTCTCTGCTCCAATCCCTCTGGCAGTTACGTGACCTTTTGCAGGGAAGGGGGCACTGCGATGTCACCAAGGGGCATCCTGAATCCACTACAGTGAGAGCCCCCGGGACAGGCAAAATCAGTGGTTTCCATCAGCTCAACAGGAGACAACAGGATTTGCCAGGGTTGTGTCTGAGTGAGGAAGCTGCCTGCTGTTCTTTGTTTCCTCAGTAGCTGGGGAAACAGGGCTTCGAGTCTTACCACCCACATTTCTCTTCTGTTGAAATCAATCCTGCAGACCTTAGATGTGGCCATTCTACCCAACACTAGATGTCTTTAAAAAGGAGTAGAAAAATTGATGTACCATTGCACTGGGAACAAAATTTCTTAATGATAACTTGACTTTCTGGGCAGGTGAATCATACTGGGAATGCAAAAGTTCCTGAATTAGCCTGAGCCAATCTCACGCTCAGCCCAGGAGAGATTTTGACGAAGTTGCCTTGATAAGTGACCCACTTACCTGGGGATCCATATGAGGTCTTTTACTGGAAGAATCTTGACAGCTTGGAGATGCTGTGTGTTGTCACCCGCAGGCATAGCATCGTGATCCAGGGAAGGCTTCAGCTCATGAAATTTGTCAGACTCCTCAAAATCTGTGGAGAGCGGTGCACTGGAAGAGCTCATGGGCGAGCTGGGTAGGCTGGAGGGGCACCGGGTTATCCTGTTAGGAGGCGAGGAGGAGTAGGAAGACATAGAGCAATAATCTGTGAGTGAGTCCTGGTGGTTTAGTATCTGGGTGCCAACCTCTGGGCTATAGGTAATGCTCATGTCCTCCAGCGGGTTACTCTCCATTGCTTTGTGATTTATAGGTGCTGTAGCTGGGATGGCTGCCGAAGGCTGCTGGATTGTAAACATGTCTCTGAGAGGGCTGCAGTCGCCGCAGAAGTAGCGCGCGCAGAGCTGGTAGGTGGTAACGTGATACATCACCAGGAAGTTGCTTTTATCGTCCAGACACCACACCACCTCCTCCCCGTGACACTCGGAGTTGCAGGCGATGGATGTGATCACCGACGGCGGGCTGAAGGGCTCCAGCCTCCTGCTGACCTCCATCGTGGCGCAGTCTATGATGAGGATGCCGGGGCCGTTGCTGTACCAGACCTCCGCTCCGCTGTTGGTGATCTCCATGGCCTTCACGGGGTACGGGTTCTGCCGGGGGTCGTCATCAGAAATGTTGAATTTGGACCTGTTTGCCGTGTGGGAGCACAGGTAGGAGCAGCTGTCCCCTGGGATGCCCTGGGACACTGAAAACACTGCTACAAGTCCATCCGACAAGCCGGCCAGTACCACATACGAGTTCTGCAAGAAAGAGACAGCAGATTTGCTATCCGGATTCTTTACTTCTCTGCAATACAAGAGCTTTCAATCCCAGAGGCTCTGGCTGTCTCTCACAATTCTGCAAGTACACTAGTAACTTGCCCCAAATCACTCAGTGATAACAGCAACATAAAAAGAAGTCATTACATAGAAGCTGCTGCAGACCCATACTCCTCTCACCCAGTTTTACCTCTCTCTTTATTGGCAAGGGAGGACAGACGGACCTGGCAGCCTGCCCTGAAGCTTAACAAATTCAAGCTGGAGTATGTTCAGAGACAGCCATCACGATCCTAGGAACCCAGCTGTAGAAACCCGGCTCTTTTCCAAAAGAGAGTAAAGCTATTGCTGTCAGTGTAGGTAGAAGAGGAATGGAAGAAATGCAGTAAAAACAGAAAGAGAGGGAGACAATCTTCTCACAAACAACAGCACACAGTAATAATGTCTGCTACTTTAACAGCACTGCTCCTCCCAGGGACGTGCTCCACGTCTGGGATCCCTGGCAGCTCACAGACATCCCAGCGGAGGGCACAGAAGCAGCAGCAGTTCAGCAAAGCGGCTGCCAAGTGCCATGAACAATTCTGCGGGTAGTTAAAAACCTGCCCCTGAACGTACAGATGTGTTGGCTGCGGGAGCCACAGCCAGCATCGAGCTCAGGTGCAGCGCTCTGCGGCACTGCTGCGATGGATACCGTCACATCCCACGGACGGGAGCCGGTGAGAAGGCCACGTCTTGCTGGGTCTCCGACTCCTCCAGCTCATCACAGCAGTGCAAAATGCTGTTAAACAGACTGGGCAATGGATCTCTCGGGAACAAAACTCCCCCTGACCTTGGGTCTGTACCAGAAACTCCCCCATCTGTGAAGCAGATAAAACAATACCTTCCTCAAAGGCCTTTCTATTTCCTCCCTGTGGAGCAATAAATTCTAAAAAAAGACCCTTTGCCCAGGGCTTTTTTTCTGCTGTTACAATCTGGCCGGACTAAAAGCAAAGCAAAACGAACAGAACCAGACAGAGCAACCCCAGCTGAAACAACACAACCTCACCCCTCCGCAGCCCCACCGTGGCGGAAAGCCCTGCCTCCCGGCGTGCCCGGGACGCCAGCGGCGCTGCCCGCCTCTGCGAGATGGGACGGGGACTCGGCGTCACCCCTTGCTGCTCATAAATTAAGGGAAAGCCTGTGCCCTTCCAGGGATCTTGGCTGTGCCAGCCCTGGAAGATAGCTCCCGGGCTGCTTAAATCTGTAGAGGCCAAAATCAGTGTCTTGAATTGCTCTCGGATATCAAGGGGCAGATAGCATAGGGGTAAGTATTAGTTTAATTGATAGCACTGTTTGCAAGGCTCATTAAGAGTCTTGGACAAAAAGACACTATCTGCATACAAAGTATGAGTAAAACCATGAGTGTGCTGAGCCCGTATGACTAATCCAAATCACAGCAGAATTTTACTGTAATGGGAAAAACTAGGGAAGCAAGTGGAAAGTTGTGAAATGGGACTTGGACTTTAACTCAGTCCTGTCCCAATTCTCTAACCACTAATTAAAAGAAACCCAAATGGCCTGCAGTGTTCGGTGCCATGTCCCTGCTGCCACGCGGATCTGGTGCAAAGGCTCCTGGATATGCGTTTGCCAGGGAGTTGCATCAATAGGTTGGAACATGGCACGATGCTTTGCACAAGCTGGGTTTTGGGTTACTTTTTCTTTGGAAAGGAGTTCAATTATTTGAAACAGAACAAAACAAAGCAGAACAGCCCACATGTCTCTGGTGAAAATGGTCCAACTTTTCCAGTCCAAAGGACCATACACAATAGGTATTTCTTACGAAAAATGGAAAATTTAAATTGAAATGGGAACATCTGAAATTAACCATGCTGTGGGTATGTCAACCTGAACTGCTCCTAGCGTGACACAGGACACTATTAAAGTCTTCAGAGATCTCTGTAATTTTGTCTCATTTGATTTGAAAATGCTGAATTATGCAAGCATAGTCTTCACAAAAAATATTTTCATTTCTTTGATTAGTGTCAGCTACTGCAGAACAGAATCCATATTCCCTTTTGAGTTCCATAGGCCAAATTTCCCCGGCACTGAGCAATCGGCACCATAACCAGGCAGAGCTGCGTCAGCGATCCCCACCCAGCTTTACTGGTAATACCGACCCTGCCAAATTCTAGCCTGTCTGGAATAGCACAATGGTGGAAGCAAATCTGGAAGATATTTCATGCTTTGGGGCACTATTACTCACTGCCTTGGCTATCGGGACCTGTTTCTATCCAGCCACGGTTGTTATCTCTCTGTTTAAGAAATGAGGAGTAGGAACTCAAATGCTGAGAAGTGTCCTCAACCTGCCATCCCTCGCCTGACCAAGACAAGGGAGTGACCCATTTCACAGAAAAACATGGCAAAGGCAACCCACCCCTGGGTGCCACCAATTCACCAGACTTTATTAGGTGCCAGTGCAGCTGGGCAGCAAGGCAAAACTCCGAATCAGGGTATTACAACAGTGACCAAAGGCAGGCAGGGCAGCAGCCTTCAGAAACCTTAAGTAACTTTCTCAGAATTCATTTTCAACATTTGGGCTCCACAAAGAGCCAACAAAAACACATAGCAACAAAACTGCATTTGAAGTCTCCGTCCTGCCAGAAGTCCCACTGTGCCAGGGAGGAAGGCCTCTGAGTGGGGCTGTGACGGTATGTGATGTGCAGGAGATGAGCTGGCTCCAGACATCCTGTCCTCACAGCTAAGGACAGCGCAAGGACAGCCGCTGCGAGCAGGTTAAAAAAAAAAAAAAATACAGCCCCCGACACCACAACCTCGGTCACCTCCTCCTCTCTTCCCTGCAGGGTCTGGCACTGCTGGCAGCGAACGCCGCGGCAGGCAGCAGTCTTTAAATGCGGCTTTTGTTTTCACGTGTTCCAGGTTTTTGCAAGAGGCCAGAGGCTTGCACCCATTCAGATTTCTCTCTCCCTCAACATCTCTTTGCAAGAATGCTGCAAACCAATTCAGAAAACATCTTGTTTTGCTCTTTTTAACCTGTTTGTTTGCTTGCTTTTTTTTTCCTGAAAGGAAATTTACTGAAAATTTTATTGTTTGCCAAAAACAATGATACTGGTGACAGAAAGCATGCAACAAAAAACCTTAAATTGTACAAGACTTTTCCTTGGCGGGTGAGTTTTGGATTCTGGGCCTCTCTCTGCTGCTTTTAAATTTCCATGATGCTTCCTTTGGATGAGAAACCAAGTTTTGGAAACTATTTCTTTTGGATCAGTCTTCCCAAGGCAGTCGTAAAGAATTCCCCTTCCCAGCAACATCCCTCGGCAATTCTCTGACTGCTAGTTACCTCACATCTCATCAGCTAAAGGCTTTCTTCCCAGGGAAATGCGAGCAATTCTCTTCTCTGCTGGACAATAATGACTATGTGATAACTCTGATACAGCTTGCTGCGCCGTACAGTGAGTTTGACCAGTGTAAGCTTTCCACTTAGCTTTGTTGGAAGAACTGGCTGTTTCGAAAAACGGTTTAGCTTCTTGCCAACCTGGTCTGCACATCCCTATGGCTGCTGCTCTGGCTATTTCACTGCCAAACTCATTCATAGAAAGGAGAGAGGAAAAAGAAAGTCCAATAAACTAAGGAGTGCGCTGAAGGGATGTGGATTTCTGGAAGGTTGGGTAGGGTCGGGGGAGGAAGGGAGGTGTCTAGACTCAATATTACTATTGTAGGGCCTGGCATTATTTATGACATTTTCTAGGCAAGCCACAAACTGAAAATAGAAACCAGGAGACATAAAGCCACTCGTAACCCCTGAGGAATGGCTTTGCAAGCTGTATGACAGTGGAAAAGCTGAAAGTGAAAGACTCGTTCGACTGTCCTGGACAAGACCTCAGGCAGCATGAAAAAGAAATTTGCCCTACACATCAGAAATGAAACTCCACAGCGGAGAAATGCTGCAGGTCTGGGAGCCAAAGAAAGCTGACAGATGCAGCCTCCCGGCGGGTGAAATTTATTCCTGTGCCAACTTTAGATCTATGCCCTACTTCAGTCCTACTTACACCATGTTTGGAAGTGAAGCGGTACACCTTACACTAACCATCTGCCTCGGATTCAGTTTGCAGCAATGCAGCAGTCCAAGCAAATGAGCCAGAAATGGACAATAACGCAGAATGGGCATGTGGTATAAAACAGCTCCACTGTCTCTCCGAGAGCTGCTCCATATTGGGCTTTTAGACACATACCAGTCTGCTGGCATTTGCAAAAACTACACAGCTACCAATAACGTTGGAACATAATTATATGTTCTTAGTTGAGGTGGCTGTAAGCAAACCGGAGGTAATTTAGCTCGAAAACAGTTTTTATACATCTCCCAAGACTTGCCCGCAATAGGCAGTCATGTCAGATTTCTCTTGCCAGTAACTGGATGTTAGCAATTCCAGAACTAGACAGACAGTATATAACTTTTGTATTACCCATAAGAGTAATTACCCATATTGCCCATAAGAGCTGTACTGTCTAAGTGTTCTCATTCAAAACCAAAAAAGAAGTGTGCCTGAGCCTAGATAATATTTAAAGATGATTGTGCACACAAATGACAGCATGCATGCACACACACCAGGAAAAGAGTAGGTACCAGAGAAAGGATATACCCAAGTCCTGCATTAGCAGTTAACAAATCCATTCTAAGTATTGTTTCATGTCCCCTCTACTCTGCTTGATCAGCCTAAACCTTGTCTTCCAGTGATGTGGAAACACAGCTGGAAAACCTCCTTGCAGAGGAATTTGATCTATTTTGACTATTTTCCCAGCAGGCTTGGAAGTGCCAGCTTTGGTCCCCTGACTCAGGTTCTTGCCCACACCTCTGTCTTCTGGCAGAGGCACAAAGACCTGGAAACCTTCTCCTCGCACTGCCAAAATGTTCCTAGGCATTGCAAAGTCCTTCAACACCAGCTAGTGACAAGCCGCGCAAACTCTGGCAGCTTGGTCTGGCAGCAGACGGCTTAGTCTCACAAATGTCCCTTTTCCTTTAGGTTCCTCCTTACCTTTTTGACAACAGGCATTACTAGAAAGCAGCTCACAGTAGCAGGAGTGTCTAAACCCTTCTGCGGAGTCTTTAGAGGACACATGCCCTGCAACCTGTACACGGAAATCTTCTGGTCCTGTGAAAGAGCACATAAAATTCTATAAATTTCAATCATCTTCCATGCTTTTCATATTTTGATACCTGAACAAGATCAAATTGGTTCCAAAACTAGTTTTCACTTGTATTTTTTGATGTCCTAAGCCTGGATTTCTCTTTGTTTTCCCTGGGGAGCATTTGCTTTGTCTGCGGGTAGAAAGCAGGTACTGCCTTCCTCAGAATGAGCTGTGGGCAGTATATGCACTGTCCAAACGCCACCAAAATCACCACTATAGGTTTTTTATCACCACATCTAAAAATAGCATTTGACAACCCTGACTCTGTTTTTTTTTTTTTAATTTTTAAAATTCTTCCAAAAATAAATTAAAGGGACAGGTCTCTCCCAACCCCAACAAATCCCAAACATGTCAGGACAATTGAAACATGTTGTATGTTATTTTGCATTAATCTGTCAATTCAAGAAAAGCTAGTATTATATTGTATGTGGAATTACACCTGCTCTACAACTCGTGATCTACTAAACTGACATAGAGCACCCGGTTTGGGGAATAGCAACACATTTAATTTTGATCAAAAAGATGGGATATAAAATGCTTTAAGATTTCTGATTTGTAATTTTTCTATACTTCTTGTTATGAAAAAATAGGAGTATTTTAACTTTACCCCAATTTGGGAACAGAAAAAGTCAAATTGTCTTATTTTCCTACAGGGAAAAAAAGATCTATACTCTCACTCAGTTCCAGCATCCATGCTAGGGCGGAGTGAATTAACCAACATAAATTATTTATTCAGCAAGTGTGGCCTTTTTTCCCCTCTCTGAAACACTGAACTTCAGGAACATTTCAGTTTGTTTTAGCTATTTTTTGTTTGTTTTGAGTCAAACGATTTGTGTCAGAACCGGCTGACACTTAACACAGGCCTTTTTGGTGGGCGGACACGGGCTCTGGGGGATAAACCAGCCATGCTCTCTCACTCTTTTCTTTTTAGCTGCAGTTTTCCACGGTGAACACAAAACTTGGGTACCCTTTTCCCACCAACTTTCAAATCCCTCAGGCCTCTTTCAAAACCCCACCCTTAAACGCACGGCTTCTTTCACTGCTTCCCATTATCGCTTACAGATAAGGACATTTCCCAGATGAAACCCTGGGTACAGATATGCTACAATCCGGAGAGTTTAGTCTCGGAAAGTCGAGGTTCCCACGATCGCTTTGAACACCAGGAGGCACGATTTTGATCTAGGTAGCAGCTAAGTAATAGGCAGAAACAATACACCCAGAGACAGCAAAATCACGCTGCTCATCAGAGATGCCCATTGTCTCAAATGCTCTTAGCTTTACTAATTTAATTCTCTTCATCTTCTAGCGAGACCCCTCTTGAGCGGGGCACTGAAGCACGGGCAACGCTCACCTCGGTGGCAGCCCAGAGGGCATTCTGAAATTTTAGTTGGCAGCATAGCTTCATTCCTGGGCAGCTCATCCTCTGCACTTCTATGACTCCTTTCTCCAGATTCACCACCGTATAGTTTCTGAAAGGAGCAAATAACAATTTCCTGTAGCCAACATTCAGCCTGAAAACTGCTACAGGACGGTACTCAGCACTTTTGGCTAAGCCGTAACACAACTGTCCAGATGTGGTCAATGCTGCAAGGATCTACACCCCTCCAAATGGTTGTTTTAAAGGAAGAGAAATACAGATGTGCCATGGCTCTTCCTCAGGGAGCAGATATGCAATTGCTTCTGTGAAGATTTAAACTCAGCTATCTGACTTTGCACGGAAATGAATTAGGAGAACTTATGTGGTCTGTTACTATAATTCAGCTGTGAGACAAATAGCTCCAGCCGAACAGCAGTAATTAATAGCTGGGAGGTCTTAGCCCATCTTGCCCATTTGGTTGTCAAGAGAACATGTGCTCGTTCTCCAAGTTCACTGCCTCAGTATTATCTGGCTTCATTACTTATTCTAGTACATAAACAGAAGATCGTGATTCTTCCAAGTAAGAGCAGAGATCTGTAACCTGATAAAATAATTTATAAATACGACTAATTAATATTTTTGCAACTAAAAGGATTTTGTTTGCTTGGGATTTAGGAAAGTTTATTGGTTTCAGGCATGTGAACAATAAGTGGATATTCATAATCACATCTGTGAGCCCCAGATATTTTATCAACTGTGGCACAAGCAATTACACATCCTGAAATCTGTCACATATAAGTAATTTGTTATTCAGCAGTCTCCAGCAAGTAGATTGTCCAGTCAGGAAGCAGATTCACTGAGATATATTGCTGCGAATATTTGGACAACATCCATGTATTCAAAATACATCTGTGAGTCCCATGTGTTTCACCAGTTTTAGCAGGAATAGTTATATTGTCTGCACTGAACGACTGACCAGGCACCACAAACAGCAAAGCAAATAGTTCATGAACAATTTGCTTAGGTTAATGCTTACAAATAATGAACACATTAATCTAGATTTCAGATCAGTTTGTGAATCTTTCCAAATAAGATTGGGGCTATAAAAATCAGTAACATCCATAAAAATAAACCTAACTAGCCATGGGTCAACATGTGGCTGAGCAAAATACTATCATCTCAGTCACAATTTAATAACATTTAAAGCACATGCCTATTCAGTATAGCACACATTTTACTGGAAGTATACACTTGGATGCACACACAGCTTCAGGCATGTGGTTAACTCCCAATGATTTCAATAGGATTTAAGCATGTGCTTAATTGCTTTGCAGAAGAGAGATGGAGCTGCAGTCTCAATTAGGAAAGGTTTAGTATTAAATGGCCTCATTAGGAAAGGCAGAACACGTCTGTTCTCATGTGCAAATGCTTCATCCTCTGTGTGTGAATCATTACACTGCCCTAATCTTCTCCTCATATTAATTGAAGCAGAGTTAAGCTCATTAAATATCCTTTATAAAGCAACCACTGTTCCCAATTAAAAGAGTTTGGGAAAACAGTGTTCACCATATTCTTGGCATTCACCCAAATTCACTTTCACCTTCTTTACCTTCCTCCCAGAGGCATAAGTGAAGATGCTGAAGGATTTTTACTTAAAAAGAAAAAAAGAAAGAAGTTACCAATATGAGCCGTCTTACCTGGTGTCTTCCTTCCCATCCCAAAACACCACACTGTACTCCTGTCTTTGGGAGCAGAAGAAGGAAGACTGCTTCCCACAGGATAGCAGGTACATAAATGTTGCAAAGGTAGGATCTTTCATCTGTCCTACCACAGAAATGGCCAGTGGACGCTGTGGGGAAAGGAAAAGAGAAAGACGTATGTCACACAAGACAGCTGGAAGTCCAGATGAAATAAAAGAAACATCATAATCATTATTAAGCTAGAGAGCCAAGAAGTAGGACTTCTTTAATAAATGCTTCTGCTATGTTCTCAAGTCTGCACCAAATTCTCCTTATAAATCCTACCTCATTGGTTCTTAGCATCGTCTGTATCCCAGACACTGAAGCCAAACCTCTTTTGTACTTCCACGGTTTGGTCTATGTTTCTCTTACATATTTTATTGATGAATTTCTTCAGGTTTATGAATTTTGGAAGCTGACCCACTGTCAGTACAGTGTCTAGCTGTTTGTCGGTCAAGGTGACCTCTGAAGGACAACAGCTCTGAAACGCCATCTTGTAATTAATGAAAAATATAATGCAGCATAATCCTTTTCTTGTACTTTGAACCCTTTCCTTCCTCATACTACCTTTTATAATCGCGGGGTTTCGAAGTCTTTCTAGTTACACTCACAGCATGATACTGTAGCTGTTTCTAGAAATTATGGGTAACATCTTGCCCTGGTGAAATCAATAGCTTAACTGCCATTGATGTCAAGAGACCTTCATGTCACCACAGCTATCTAAGGCCATTGTTTCACTCATAAAACTCTCATTTAAGTCAATAGAAGTTCCGGGCCATATCAGACCGAGTTGTTCTGCTGTGCCCAGACCAAGCCTAGCTCTCCTGTGTGAAGGGGGCTGCCAGACCCCTGTAGCTACACAATCAGAAAACACTGGTCATGAGGGTTGTCTTGTACCTTTTCTGGCTTAGTGTCCCAACACTCCATCATGAGTGCCTGCATCCTACATAGCTGCACCTCTTCTGGCTGCCCAAGAACAGGACGGATCCCTTTAGACAGCTTCTTTGCAATCTGGAGCTGGTGTTGTCCTAGCGCAGGCCGCTGACCAGACAGCAGCTCATACAGGACCATCCCATATGAGAACATGTCGACCTAGAGCCAGAAACAGAGAGAAAGAACCAGGGCAAACCTCCCTTAGTGAGTGGAGAGGAGAGCGAGGAAGGCCGTGGTGGGAAAGCTAGTGCTGCACACCACGCATGTAGAAGGGAATTCAGCCCCATGCACGAAGCCAGCCACCCACCGCTGTCACGCAGGGGCTGTGCCCGTGGACACACCACAGTTACCTTCTCATCGTAGACTATGCGAGGCCTGATCTCAGGAGCTTGGTAGCCCGGCGTGCCTTCCACGCCAAGCGCGCCTTCATGGAATGACTGCCGGGAGATTCCGTAGTCTGAGAGTTTGATATTGATGTGCTCTTTGACGTCCAAGGACCACACCAAAATATTGTCCGACTTCAGGTCGCAGAAGATGATGTTCTTCTTATGCAGGTAGGCAAGGCCTGTTACAATCTGATACGCTATTTTGTGTGTCAGCATGTGTCCCAGCGGCACAAAGGAAGACCCTGGCACAAAGGAACATACTGTCTTCAGCTCTTGTAATTGCAATAACTACGGTTTTTTTTTTTTTTTACCTTTCTCTGTCTCTTTTAAACTCCAAAGCAATAACTAACAGCCTTTTAAAACATCACTCAATGCCACGATTTGAAATGACACTGTTCGTGTTACTATACACGTCTGACAGTTCTATTAGATCCTTTTTTTAAACCCTTTCACTTCTAGACCCCTAAATCTTCTGGTGAAAATTAGTGTTTGACTGAAAGTTGACACAAAGCCAAGGTGCCAAGAGGGTCAGATGCCCTCAACCTATATTGGAATTAGTGTCGTTCATCTGACAGCGACAGAAATACAGATAATTATGAGAGAATTTAGAGTGCCAGACACCCATCTGCAGGGGGGAGAACACAGCATTACCCATGCAGCACTGAAGTGGGATGCACTTCTTAATAATTTGCAGAGAAATTGAAAATCCAGGTCTACAAAGTAGTTTTGAAAATCCCGAGCATCAATTTTTACTAGGTTCCCAAAGGCACAGTTTAAGAGCAATTCCATCCCTCCCACTTCCCCTAGTCTGGAAAAAAATCCCCTTCATTAAAACTAGCAGTAATTTAAATGTTGACCGTTTGTCACTACCATGACTCGGAGAGTGAGCTCTCCCAGGAAGGAGACCCTGTTTTTACCTTTGGAGTTTTCAGACAATACAGTGGTAAGGCTGCCCAGAGGGGCCAGCTCTAGGGCAAAGCAGAGAGGATGGATGCTGATGCCAATGAGGGAGACGATGCAGGGGTGTTGCAGCGAGTGGAGCATGCTGGCCTCCTGGCGAAACTCAGAGAAGTTCTTCATGGCGTCCATGGCTCTCAGGTGTTTCAGCATGGTATCTGGCAAGACACACAAACCCCTTCTCACTTCCCAGCTGAGAAACTAAGTCAGAAATTCTTTGGAAGGTGCTAATCACTGAGCAAATGCTGCAGGAGGAAGGCAGCTTGTGGGGTTGTGCCAACAGCAAGGCTTTAAGTTGCATCCTCATGTTGATGCATGAGCCACTAACAGACATTGGCTATAAGCAGGATATATACGGCTGCCTCAGGAAGCAAGTGCTCCCTTGGTCCTTTAACACCAACCTCGAGTGTGTCTGCCACACTCTGTTCTCGTATACCACCTGGATGATTTTGGAAAACTCCTGCTGTGCTTTTTAAAGCAGGGACTCTGAGAGGGACCCTTCACAGTAATTGTCCTTCTGCCATGGTACACCACAGGCTGCTCAGGCAGGTCTGGTCTTTCCAAAGGTTATTTGTCCCTGGGACAGCAGCTGGCCTCCTCCACAGCTCAGGGGTTCACTGCATCCTTCCCTGACAAGAATGAGGGAAGTGAGGCACTTTCCCCTTTCCTTTGTCCGTGGACTGAGGCTCTGCTGGAAACCTGTGCTCAAAAGCCGGCACGTGCAGTACGAGAGCCTGTCCCTGCCTGGAGGAGCTGGCAGGCTGAGAAGGATTTCCAATTTGCTTTCTGTAGCTGCTGGCACAGATGGAGTAAAAGACTTATTCAAAGGTGGAGACCCACAAGTCCCATGCAAATCCACACTTCTCATTGACAAATAGCTTGGGAACAGGAGATGAAATCTTGCCTCCCACCCCAATCAAGAGCTCTGCCTTGGCACCCTAATAGTCCACCCATTGACCTGCAGGAGAGAAGCTTCCTGCAGTGACCATGACCTTCATCCCTACAAGTGCTTTCGTGAAGGACTCTTTAAGACGTATCCTCCTCCTCCATGGAAACACATCAATTTTGCTATATATTTCAAAGCTGTATTTAAACAGGTGCTGCCAGCACTTCGGAGAGCGAAGGCTCTTTGGTCTTAGCTTGGGATTGCAGGCTGCAAGAGCCGATTCCCGACACCGATTCTGTGTACCGTACCTGCAGCTGAAGTGAGAGAACCTTTGCACTTTTTAATCTGAAATCTCTTCACAGCCACCGGTTTTCCTTGGTATCGTGCCCGATATATAACGGTCCCACTTCCACCCTGGCCAAGAACGTTGTTTTCATTTTCACTGCATTCCAGTTTGCTATTTTCCAGGAACAGTCTGCCAAAAAGAGATTGGGGCTTTTTAATTAAAAGGAAAGTTTCAAAAACACTGTAAATTCATGTTTTTAATGTAATGTCCATTTTCACAAATCCCTAATAGGTTCTTGTCTTATCTACTGAGAGGACTGGATCACCTAAACTACCTTGGTCATCTCAATGTACTCTATGCTGGCTCGTGTACAACAGATTTCTCACCGAAAAAAGTAACTTGGGCAAATAAACAAAAAAGGCTTTTTACTGCAGCAATTTATCCCGTAAGAATCAAGTAGATCTGGAAAGCACATAAGCTCCTTTTCCAAGCAGATGACACAGGCACACGTATTTGTACCATTTCTCTGTATTAACGATTTTTTTGCTTCATTTACCTCCTGTTCCTCTTTCCTCCACTGAGGCAGGACAGGACGTTTATGAACAGCCCCACACTCTGAAACCTGATTATTCAAATCACCTTACTGTTCCCAGGCTGCAATTCATCATTTCCCCACTCTTCCAGAGACTACTTTTACAGCTGTTCACACTTCAAACATCTCCACTTGCCTTGCACCAGTCAAATAAATCTCCAGGAGATAGCACTGTGAGGAGGGCTGTCGTGACGGGTTGATGGGGTGTTTGCCCAGAATACCCTGTAAAATGACCCCAAAAAAGGAACAGGGGCCAGTGGGAGCACAGAAAGCTCTGACAGCAGCCAACAGGACACAGTTTGGTCTAGAGGTCTCATGGCTCTGCATCGGGCACAGAAAGGTCTGAGAGAGTGTGAACCGAAAGAGACATTGGTCTCCTGTCCTGCCTGCTGTCAGGAGGTCTCTTGCTCTACACACTAAGTAATAAGGGGTATAAGACTGATTTAACTGCATCTGGGAATGCAGTTAAGCAGCTTAAAGATTTGGCAGTGCTGCTATGGGTGAGGAAGAGCTGTTTCAGTTGTTCAGGACTGCCACACTACTACAACACATCTAACAGTCTTCAGCCAAGCAGGAGCCTCAACTCAATGTGAATTCTCCAGTGGTGTCTCTGTAAATTCACTCACCTACAGGCTCTTCAAAACTGACGTAGCAGTGCTTCCTTTTGGTTTTGCCGTATTAAAATCTCCTTTCCGGGGTCCCAGAAAGACTCCAACTACAGAAAGCTCTGGCCAAAGTACTGGGCAATGCAGGACAGCTGTGGCTTTAAAAAGGGACTTTCACATTGCACTACAGTGATCTTAAAGGAACCCCCGAAGTGATGACTCAGGTCAGCACACAGCAGTTGTCTAAGCAAGTGTGCTGACCACCAGGAGTGCAGTTTAGGATGAATTGCCAGAGCAGGGATTGAGAGTGGATGAATTTGTTTCCTGTGGTGAGTATGTTTCTCTAGCAGAGATGACTTAGGAAAAAAATTCAACCTAATTACCTAGGTATACTGAAACTTAACCAAAGGCTATCAAATAACATTACCTGGCAGGAAAATCAGTCATGAAAAGCTCTGGGACCAGCTCTTGGAGAGAAACAGGGATGTCAGGGTGGTTAGGACATGTGATGTAGTCCAGTTCAATGGCAGTCAGGACACAGTCCTCCATGTTAAAGTACTGCGCGTCCTCTGCTTTCTCGCCACACTCATCCTCCTCCGGCTTGGAAGCTGCACAGATGTGGCAGGGCACATACTGCTCCATCAGCAATGTGCCATCACTCTCAGTGGCTGTGAGTGCTTCAAAGCAAGCAAGCAAAGAGAAAACAACATAACCCACACAAACTGAGAAGGAACAACAGCTCCTAGTGCATTCAAATGTCTACAGTCATTACCTGGTGCACTGGCTGAAAACGGTCACACTCACAAAAGCAGCAGTTTATTCCAGTGTATTGACTGGAATAAGAAAATAGCTTTTTGCAAAGTACACACAGATAGCAGGGACAGTACTGACGAGACAGGACCGTTGACATAACTTAACAGCTACTCTGCTTTGGTCACAGGTAATGCACAGGCTTGCGAAGAAATATATTCAGGACCAGTAGAAATTAGAAGTATATGAATAAAGCCTTGGAGAGAACCTCCTACTTGCTGAGTGTCTTTATGTGAACTGCATACAGGGATCACTGTGTATGCTAAAGGGCATGACCGTGCAGTAGAAGAATGGCAGCTGCGAGGCTGCCCAGGAGGCCCAACCACGTCTGCTTCGCAAGCTGCCAGATGGCTTCAGGCGGAGAGCAGGCATGGGAACGGGAATGGGAGTGGACTGGGAGGCATGGCTCGCTGCGCTCAGGCTGAGCGCTTCAGGTGCAGGCTAGGAATAAGCACTCACCTGCAGCACCCAAGTTAGGAACGCGGTCACTGTGGGCTCCCTCACGGACAATGTTTTCAGCCCCTCTGGGGGAAATGTGGATTCTACCAAGACTAAGCCTTTGAGAGGTTCACACCTCTCCCACTAACTACAGAGGGATTTTGTGGTGACAGGCTCCGTTAAATGCCTACAATTAGGCAGGGTGAATACAGGCCGTAGCCTCTGAAGTTGTGACTCTTCTCAAGCTTCAGTGATTAACATTATCATTATTTTAATCCAAAGGCAAATAAAATCTTCTTTTATCTTCCTAACATGCAGAACATGAATATGTGAGAGTGCACAACTGTTTCCTCCAGAGAGCCTCCAATTAAGAGATTTTGGCACTGTTTTCCAGACCAGTGTGGGACGGCAAAGAACACTTCAGATTTTGTTTTGGTTTTAAACAAAGTGTATTGGGGTTGCAAACAGCCCGCTGCGTAACAGCGGGATCTGTGCTGATCACAGGAAAAACAACTGCAGGAGTCAAGGAAGTTACCTTGGCACAGAGTCCTTGGTATCATATTCACTCATGCCTGCCACATCACAATTTTATAAATTATAGGGTGTCAGAAATGGTGGGCAAATGCTAATCCCAGCTGATGCCAAAATGAGTTCTGCCATCAAGGGACAGTGCCAGGTAGTTTGGGCCAAATCCCGTCCCTGCTATGAGCACTGGAAGAGTCCCTTGAACTCCTAAAGAAGCAGGTTCTGTTTGAACTGTAATGTTTCACCGCTTACTGTGACTGACGGACTGAAAGTCATAATGTTTACACCAAGGTGTGCTGGCAAATAATCTTGATCTGTCTGCAGGTTAGCAGCTTTTCCCAAACTTTATTGGCTTGAGACTGTCAGCCTGAGGGGTCTTTAATTAACACACAATATTGTGCACCTGGAGAGTTCTGTCAAAGAAGCTTCTGTAACAAGACATAATACTGCACAGAAAATTACAGTAGTTCTCTTACCAGGAAACCACTGATCTATCAAAGAGTTGACATGATCTGTGATGAACGCCATTGCTGAAAAGTCTCTCACTTCTGACTGGCAAATGATTTTAATTCCACCACTTTTTTTCCTTTTCCAGTTCACATCAGAAGACTCGACACTGTGTAAGAAAGCCAAAAGACAGCCGCATGAAGCTTTTGTGAAGTATCAGTGTCAACAAACTTTCTTTCTCGCAGGAAACCCGAGTTACGTAGTAACACATAGTTCACAAATAATCAAAATAAAAAGCAATCTAGCTTTGAGGATGATTTTCAGTTCAGTCTGTTCTGCAAATGACTTTCAGAAGAGAATTCTTGCACAGAAATTCTGGTTGCTCACAATGGGTAAATGCTACAGAAGGTCAGACTCAGAGAAAACTCTGGCCTAAGTGAACCGAGTATGACAGAAATACCCCATACAGAATGATGGAGGGTTAGGAGTTTTAAAAATTGGTAATAAAACTCCAGTGGCCTAATAATAATAATACAACTTCCAAAAACTGTTTGGAAAAGTTTATGAACATAACAATTTTTGTCCAATTCCCACAAAAAAAAAAAAGAGCTTTAATACAAAGAGCTGAGTTCTGTAACTCCCTGAAGTACATGGGGAAATAAGAGTATGACCACCACCATGGTCCAGAATTAAGGATTCCAGCCTGTGATTTGCAATGTCTAGGTCCAAGTCTCTAGGCAGCTGCAGACTGCCTAGATGAACTCAGAAGAGTCACTGTGCCCTTCTGGTCTCCAAACATGAAACAGCACCAGTGGTTCCTCCCTATCTTGCCAGGGAAGAGCAAATGCATCTGCAGATAGTACAAAGATGAAAGTCTTACGTGGCTGCCTACTCTCTGCATTTGCGAAAGAACATGGACAGCAGGTTTTCTCCAGGCTTGCAGCCGGCAGACACTCTGTGTTGGCCAGCTTAAACAAGTTAGCCATAGTCCCTGTTGCACGTAGCCTGATAGCACAGAAGCACCTCCATTGATCTGAATTACTGCCACACAGTGGTGAAGTTTTAGGATTCCGTGGAAAACTCACTAATGTAAGGAAATCTTTGCATATGAAAATGCATGATTTTACACTGCCAGAGTTCTGCTCTGAATATCGCTTTCTGTTTTCAGGACTCTCTAAATTTGTGGCTGCAATAACACATAAGGTTGATATATTCAGAACTGCCAATCAGTTATTCATAATTTTTGTCAGTTGTTACCAGATGAGTTATGTCTACTAGAAGAGCCTCCTCTTCTACTGATGAGTGAGCATATAGCATGAGTCAGGCCCATTCATCTCCATTCAGATGATGTGTTTCATACACTCTATTAGTCCCCTGTCATGCATGCTGCATTACGAACACAAATTACCTAAGATAGCCTCCATCAAAGGTAACGAACAGACCTTCCTGCCAGTAAACAGTGTGAGTCCTTTTGACTCGGAACGTGCTGCAGCGGTTCCTTTGGGTGCCTGTGAAGCTGTAGATGGCCACCTTTTTGTTTCTCGTCTTGGTATTCTTGTTTTCAAAAAGCTGAAACAAGCAGAAAAGCATGAAAATCATTAAATTATTGACATTTCTCATAAAGATGTTGTTTTAATCGAGCAATAAGGTGACTTCTTTTTTTGGCCTTCACAAGTGCTATCATACCTTCTCCATTAAAGAGCGACTTGTGCTTATAAAAAAATTTCGTGATGGAATGAAAACACACGCAGTTAAAATTGATTCTGCAGCAATGGAAATATTTTTCATGCCACTCAAAAAGGAACAATTTCATATCAGTGAACAAAGTTAATTCTATAACTGTGACACTTGTTATATGAATTAAGCATTTGCAAAAGTCTTATAAACCTAAAGAACAGCTAAATGTTCTAGTGAATGATTAAGCCTGCCCTCAGTGTAGAGAGTTAACTTTTCCACCTGTTTCAGTGGGAGGATGATGGCTTTTCTCCAAGACACTTCAAACCAGCAGTTAGAGCAAAATGTATTTTTGTTTTAAAACCAAAGACTTAATCTGCAGAACTCCACTGTACTCATTGCTCTAACGCTTATTTGTCTGCAGATGGGTCTGACGCCTGGGATCCTTTCCATTCACTTCAGTGAGGACTGGATGAGGTCCCTAGTAAAGGTGCTCTAGGGTTATGTAGTGCCCATGAGGATGTAAACAAGGGGTTGCCAAGACAGCCTGTTAAAACAGGTGAAGTTATTACATGGTTTGAGAAGTCTGGAACACAGAGGACCTTCCAAAAACAGGTATCATGTTTTCCATGTTCTGTACATCAATGACAGAACACAGTTTAAATGGATAGCTGTTAACAATACAATAGTACTAAAAATATTTTGCAGGTATTTATTGCGGTTTCCAGCAGGGCTATGTTTTCAGATATAAGCTGCTGCAAAAATATGTCTGTAACAACATCTAAATTCACTTAGCTTTCAGAATCTTACAAACACTACTTTAATGATATGCATACCACTTGCACTAATAGGGTGCCTGCTTGCACTCATTATCCCATTAAGGCAAAAGTCCTGTAATTCTCTTCTCATTTAAACCCATATAGATTCAGACAGCTGACTTTGGTGGAGCTATTCCAGATCTCCACTGGCAAACGATGTGAACAGAGTCTGGCCCAGTGGAATGGTCATGGACAAGAGCCGCAGGCAGAACTCCAATTACTTGTAATTGGAAGATGCTGGAGGTACTGAGACCTTCCAGGGGATCATGTTATAAAGAGGCTGTAGAGAATGCAGGCTTTCCTCCCCAGTGCCAATTTGTTGTTCTAAATGACACCTACTGTGAAAACAGGATCAGATTTTGATTGCAGTCTCTCATCTCTCCCTATTTACTCAAATAATGTTATTGAAGTCTGTGACTGAAGCAAGCTGGATGTGAAGAGACCTTTCTTATATAAGACTTACACTTAGATTGAACAACTACTTTAGCTTTCTTCTTTTGCTTGCAGAGAGATACATTAACCTACCTGGAGGTCCATCTCTGCCAGGCTAATTAACATTCGAGCTATGAATCTTTGCCAAAAGCCAACTGGGACAAAACTCATCTTGAAGACCCTTTGGACTGTGTTCATGGTCTGGTGGCAGAGCCCGTGGATATCTAATGCTGGCTTGGTAGGAAGCAGATGAGGGAGGAGGTAGCTGAAACACATCAAATTCAACAGCTCAGATTTTAGCTACAGCTTGTAACAGTGAGTACATTGTTACTGGATAATAAGGCGATTCAGTCTCCAAAGAGATTTTTAATGGCACAGCCTACTGCATATAAAAAAGCTTTTAGACTAAAGGCGCTGCAGCAATACATGGAGAAATAAATTTACACTATGGAAGCAAGCAGAGGCAAAACAGACATTACATAATTCAGCCAGGGCTATTGGACAGGGCTAAAATTGATGTAATGAGCAGGACATTAGTGTAATCACAACTTAAATGCATTAAAATATAAGAGTCATTAGAACAGCTGTGAAGTTGGGACTCATTTTTTGGTATCTTTACTACTCTGCCCTGGTAGTAAGCAGAGAATTACAGCTGTGCTCCTATGTGGAACAGAAGAAAAATGCAAAAACAACCTACAGCAGCTCAGCTTCAGTAAGCCCACAAGGTGGGGAGAGGAGGTGTCGTGGGAGGTGGCAATGAGGCAGTTACAGGCTCCAGGGACTGGACTGCTCTGGCTCTCATCCCAGTCCCAGAATGAGAGCATTGTATGGGTCAACATGACAGGGTTTCCTGCTGTACCATACTGCAGCTGATGGACTCCCTACCACATCCCTGACAAACTCCTAGGGCAAGAGCTCACTTTGCCAGACTGATGCCAGCAGAGATATCACTTGTCTTGCTCAGTCTCCTACTGCAACCAGGTTATTAGGTTCTTTGCCCAAGTGTGGAGGAGACTCAGTGCTATCCGAGTCTGACCGGTCAGAAGTAACAGAGCTACGCTGGTGCAAAGGACCACAAAGTTTTCAAACCATTTTCAGATCTCCCAGTAAGCACAGAATATTCATTTGTCCTGATCTTTAGTATTTGGGAAGCTAAACCTTTTGGAAGGCTAGAACTGTTGAAAACTATGAGCTTACGGCTTTCAATACCTGCCAATAAATCTCTTGACAGTGATACTCTTCTGTACCAAATACCTTCCAAGATGCCTATACGATCAAAAATCTTATTTGCTTATAAGCAGAAACACTGCTGTTTTATCAGCGTTGAGCCTGAGAAAATGTGTCGGCATCTGGGGCTCATCACTGACGGGCATAATGACAGCAATGAGGCAAATGGCCAAGGGACTTGACCAAAATAACAGTGGCAGGGACTAGACACACAACTAGAACTAATGCTGGGTCCAAATCCAATGCTTTAAGCCTATCACATTTTCTCCTTAGCAGCTGCCGTATTCTGTAAAACCTGAAATATCAGCTCAGAAAAACCAGACATCACTAGACAACAGCTCTCTCCATATGTCACAGTCCATAACATCTGATGACATTTTACATGATCAAATTATCCATTCCATGAAACATCTTTGGAATGTAAAACTGATAAAAATTTCTCTTCACTTATAAATTACAATAAGAATGGTCATACTTTCAACCCTATTTTAACAAGCAGAACAAAGCTAAATTACATGCACCTTAGGCAGAAAAGTGGAGTGCATGAAACTAAAAGTTCTTGCTCTATAAAGGTAGTGGATGCATCATATGACAGCCAATTAATTTTCCTCAGCACATCCAAGAAAGGGTCTAGGAGTATAAGAAGGCCAGTGAGGCCCTTCTGGACCACAACTATATAGTGGATTATAATACAGATGGTGATTCGATGCTCTTGAACAACAGCCAATGCAAATTTTGAAAATATGTGAAACATGCCCCCATCCACCCTTTCAGAACAGAAACTGGCAGCTGCTTTCTCTACTGACTGCACAGAAACCCTATCTGGCAATCTAGACAATAATTGCAGAAGCACAGTAACAAATAACTGCTCTGTGTCTGGCTAGTACATTAAATTAATCCAACCTGCTATAGCTACAGTCTGTCAGTGGGAAGAATATTCTGCTAATGTGGCTTGGATCGCTCTAAAAAAGATTGGGCAGGCCATGAAAAAGCAGTTTCCTTGTTCCCGAGGCACAGACAATGTAATTGCCTTGGAGCAAAATGGCAGATAGCGACAAGGAGTCCAAAAGGCATTCTGGACTAAGCAGAAACATTGCTGCTTTATCTGTGTTAAGCCTGAGAAAATTTGTTGGCATCCGGGACTGGATAAGTGACAGGCATAATGACAGCACAGAGAATGCTGCACTTGTGCTGGCATTCAGAGCTCCCGAGAGGCTCAGGGCAATGCAGCCGTGGTGTCCTGGAAGGGCAAGGAAGTGAAATGCAAATGCCACATCAAAAGTGCAATACAACTATGGTTTCACCGTTAACGCAACAACAGGCTGTCGCCAAGCAGATGGGAGAGAGAAAAATAGCAGGGAACTCTGCCCAGAGGAAAAGAGATCGGGGGGCAGCGGGGAGGAGGACTCATTAACATTTAAAGAGAATGAGGTTTCCTAGACCATTTCTAGAAAAACTATTGATCAACACCTATTGAGGCTAAAAACTAAGAAAATCACATTGCTACTGAAGCTACACTTTCCTGATTTCACTAGAAATAAAATACTACCACTTTCAGGGCTGACATAATTATTGATCACCCAAAGTTTTCTGCCATACTCTGGAGGATCTTTCACTGGAAACAGATGACTCCAGCCCATCTATATTTCAGGCCCGGCAGCCATGAGCCTCACATCCTCTCTCAGCTGCAGCTGTGCCGGCTGAGCGCTTACAGCTTCCACCTGCTCATCGCCACATCCCTGGCGGTGTCACTTGCCCCTCCGTGCTGGTGGCTGAGCCCGTCACCAGCCTCAATGCACCGAGTGGACAAAGACCTGCTTTGGAAAGTTTTCAAACTAGCTTCTTTGGACCAAAGGATGCTCATGCCAGGAAACACATCCCAAGGGATGGGTGCCTTCCATCACACTGTTTAACGCAGTAAAATATTTTCCCACAGCAAGATCTTTGTCAAGACAACCCCTTATAGTGACAAGGCCTGATTAAATGGCCATTTTTCTCCAGCCCGGCTAAGCCCCTCTAATTATCAACATACCTGTTATTGGCCACAGGCAGTGCAATTTCAAACTTGGCCAAGAACTGGAAGTACTGCTCTTCGGTTTGTTCAGTGAAGCCCGTCCCAACCAGCAGCATCCTGAGATCCTCTGCTCTGATGACTCCATTCTTAGCTACAGACTTGGAGCTCTTGATGTTGAAAATCCTCTGTAGACACTCTGAGAGCCAGACGGGGTCAAGGAAATAGAGGTTTCTCAGGCCATGGCTCGTGTCTGGGAAGTGCAGTAGTGTACCCGTTTCTATGAGAAAATTAATCGCTGCAAAAAATAAAAATGAAGAATTGTAGATTATCAATAGATCAGCATTAGGACACCACAGTGCAGATGAATAAGATTACAAGGCAGTCTGTGCAGTTTTATGCATACCAGATACAGGCAGCACGTAGCCAAGCCAAGAAAATACCATTTATCTGAGGAGTGCTGCTATCTGGCACTCCACTTGTAAAACCCACATCTCACCACTTTACAGTCAGTATTTATGTTCCCATCCCACCTCCCCTTTACCCTCCTCCTGCCGTTCTCACAGGGAAGGGCTCTTCCTGGCTCCTGCAGAGCAAGGCCTCTGTAGAGATCACAAGACTGGGGCCCTTCGGAGAAGACAGCCTTGAAACTATGGCAACCCTCATTCTTCACAGAGCAGAAACAAAATCAGACAAAGCTTGTAAAAAAAAAAAAAAATTCAGTAGCCTCAGACCATCCTAGAAACTTCCCAGCCCTCTCCCCAAAGCCCCATTACTAATTTTATATCTCACCAATTTCCAAAGTGACCTCTACACAGGTGTAGAGCACTCTAACTGTTTTTTTGCACAGCAGTTATCTGGTGGGCTTTTCCCTTCCCCCCTTTTTTATTCATGGAACATTTCAATTGGTCACACATATTGATTTCCAAGAAATTACTGGTCTGCTCTGACCTACCAGTTTGCAAGTCTTCGTAGTCTTTGATATCATTTCCAGGGGTTTGCTCAATGATCAGTTCTATTTGTCTGTCTGTTAAATACTGTACATCATCGTTCTGACTTCTTCTATACTGTTCTGCAAGGACAGCTTCTTGAAGGCTAAGGTAACTTCTTGGTATCTGCAAGCCACACGAGAAAAATAGCAGGATCAATATCAGACAGCAATGACTTTGCTGGAGATGAACTGTCTAAGCCATCTCCCCTTTACAGGGATCTTATAGTGCTGTCTTTTCCCAAAGCCAGACAGCCATCTTATATACTTCACGTCTCCTGCATCAGCAGTAACTCCTAAAGTAACTCCCAGTCCCAAACCAAGCCCCCCAAAAGCCCCCCTTTGGTAAGGATCACCACTAGAAAGCACAGTTCTCACCAATCTCCCTGCAAGTTTCTGTGAGCAAATTGAGCTGCCGACATCCTTCATGTTGCAAGTGACATGAAAAATCAGCTGTCGGAGTCCATCGAGGCCTTCCAGAGTCTTACATGAGAGCTCACTGCAAAAGTCATCAAGGGTGAAGATTATCAAACCTTATCAGCACACTGGCTTCCTTTCCGGGCTCACTTTCTCTTATCAGTGACTTTAAATTTCCCCTGTCAGATGAATGGGAGGAAGGCTGTCAGTGAGCATTTTTAGCTTTGGAGAAAAATACGAAGAAGCCTGGAAAGGATATATTAGGCCAACCTCTGCTCTGCCGGCTTCATTCACTGTGCACTGCTCTTCTATACCCTATGCACCGTGATCTCTGGGGACTTCCCTGGCAGACTGACCGAAGTCATCACCTTTTTCCCCTTCAGTGCTGCACACATCCTGGAAGGGACTGCAGGAAGGAGGAAAACATTGTGCTCCGGCAATCGCTAGAGACGAGTCCAGTTCTCCCCGCCGCAGATCAAAGAGGCATGATGATGACTACCAGACACCTTTTCCCACCCTCATTCCGGCCCTTGCTCAGCTGGATCCTGTGATCTGGGAATTGATGCTTAGATCCTAAAGGCTGGCCTTCATCATCTCTTTAACAGCAAAAAACCTGCTCTCTCCAGCTCCTACTATTTTTGGCCTTTTTGCGGGCTGGGTAAGAACGGTTGTCTTCCACTTTCCCCAACAAAGGGTCTTTCTAACTGATCTTACACATGTTCCTGTGGCAGACAGAGAATCCTTTTCTAAAGCAATATGCTTTATCTTAAACCTCAGCCGTCAGCGGCGCTGGGAAGCATGCACTGATAAAAGCACCCAGGCTTTCACAACACACACTCCTCACACTCCTCCAGATGCCTGGAACACTGCTCAGAGGAGCCCCATCCAGGTGGACGTTGGGGTGTGAAGGAGAGGCATGGGAGGGAGGAGGTATGAAATCAGGCACAACTCTGACTGGAAGGAAATGCAAGGGGAAAGGAAGGTAAAGAAGGGGAACGTGCGGGATGTGGGGCAGGGTGAAAGAAAGTCCCCTTAAGAAAGAATGATTGAGATCACGGTAGGATGCTCTGTGGTGATGGTAAAAGAGGCTTGAGGAGACCAAAGCACAAAGCTTTCTCCTTCTCACTGTGGGTCTCTGTGATTCACACTGGGCCCCTTCTACTCCTCCTAACGGGAAAGAGCCAGCTGGGATGCCCGACGCAGCGCTTGTGTCTGCAGAACCGTGTGGGAGGTCTCCTAATGGCTTTGCCAGGCAGCAGATGCAAAGCGCTGGGGACATTGCAGCGCCCTTCTTTACTTGCCAGCCGCCACCTGCTCTTGCCCCAGGCGTTGGCGATTTCACACTGTTTGGTACCAGCCTCCTGCGTCCATACTCCCCCCGTGCTGTGCACTCCCTTGGCTGACAGACCCGCTTCCTTCCTAGCCAGAGAAGCCTCCTCTCCCCAAGGGCATTCTCCGTCAGCCGAAGGGAGAGAGCAGCGTCAGACTCCATGGCCTGACTGACACCGATCTTCCAGACAGCACCACCCCTCCTTTATCACACCGGAGAACTTGGATGGCACAGGTTTGGACTGCCAGGGGCTCAGGGGGCTGACCCACTCCTCGCCCTGCCAACACTGCCACGTGAGCTGCGTTCTCGCGTCAGGTAGCAAGAGGTTCCCACGCAGCCTCCCCTTAACAAAGCCCACAGCACCCACCCTGTAACGGTCATGCTCTCAAGGTTTGCAGCATTAATTACTCAATCTGTACCTTCTCTCCTTGTGACTAATAAACTGTATCACCATTTAATGGTGAGAAACCTGAGCGGAGCAGGAGTGCTAAAACACGCTGGCCAAGGTCATGACTTTGCAGCTTCCAGCTCTCAGACCCATGATCAGACCTCTTAGCAACACTGAACTTCTCTCTGATTATACTATATTATCTCAGTCAAAAATAGATGAAATGCAATGCTGACGAGTCTTTAAATCAGTTCCGTTGCCAAGGAGATCAAGTATTACAAAATTGTTTAAAGTGACATAAAATAGAGTGACTGAGCTTCATAAAGACAGAATTACTTACTGTAGGTGCTTGAATGTGATATCTGGGAAGCCGGTTGCTCTGGATCCAGAGGGAGAGCGACAAAGAGCCAAGACATATGCCCTCAGAGTTGCTATCCTCTCAACGCGGAATTTAGTTTCAATTAAATCAAGGTGTGTTCCAACCACTAACACCGCTGAATTTGGAGCTTTGGCCTGTAACAGAAAACACTGACGATGATCTCATCCAGATTATGTTGTGGTAAATTCAGTGAGGACATGTGAAAAGTATAATATTTAAGAGGAGGTAGTCATATACATTAATAAAATGGAATATATATATAAAATAGAGGCAACCTGTCGTGGCAGCTTGACAACGGCAACAAGTGATCTGGGTATTACAGAAGTTCTCCTGCAGAATATGGCTTAATTATCTGCTACTGCAGAGCAGGAAACTGTCAGTTTGGGTTTATTACATCAGGGCTTAACATAAAGGGAGTTGCCATGTGGTATTAAGTTGCTACGAGTCAGCTAAATGACGGGAACTATGTCTGCCCAGACAAAGGAAAAGAAGTTAGCTTAACCTGGAGCTAGAAGATCTGACTTTGATATCCTGAAAAAGGCCAGTTACGCTCCAGAATGGCTACCCAGGGAAGTTACACAAACTTTTTCACTGGAGGTATATGGAGAGGTGAGATAAACTGTTAGAAATGTCTGAATCTACTTAATCCTGAATCAATGCAAAGGAATGGATTAGATGATCTCGTGGTTTCTTCCAACCTTTCCATATTCTATTACAGGACTGGAACTTACCCTGATTTCAGGGAACACGCTGCCAAATACGATGGGATTGCACAGGCTTAAGCAGGAATCAGCCTGCCGATCCAAACGATTTTGACCACAGAGGGAAATTTAGATGCAGAAATATATGCTTATTTGCAGTCAATCCATTTCTCTCTGCAATGCCCACTGAAATCTCAAACCTGAATGACACCAAACTCGAACCCTGTGCAGACACAGGAGTGATGGCTGTACCAAGTCGGACCAAAGGGCCCACTTGGCCCAATATTCTGCCTGGAGGCTAATGAAGAGTATAGGCACAGGGTAAGCATATAGAGATTTTCCCTGGTGTATTCTCCCAGTATCCAGCAGCCTGCAGCTCACCAACTTCCTCAGAGCATGAGACGGTATCTCTGAACTAATAGCACTTGATTTTTCTTCCACCAGTCTGTTTTTTCAACTTCTGACACCTGCAGCACATTGTAGTCCCAATAAATTCCACAGGTTAGCTATCTGTTGTGTTTAGGATACTTTCTATTGCTTGTTTCAAAGCTTCCATCTCATTATTTCATTTGATCTCTCCTAATTCTCCTATTGCAAAAGATCATGAACAAAGACTCCCTTGTGGTTTTCTCCTTACCCCTGGTAAGTCTGTATGCAGCCCTCCTTATTTGCCTTTCCCAAGCTGAAGAGGCCTAATCTATTTAATTACTGTGCACTCAGAAACTTTTCCACACTTTTAACCGTCATGTTCATCTTTCTCTGTATCTTTTCTGATGCTACTATGTGCTTGCTGGGATGTATTAAGGACACAGGCACATCACACATTTTTGAAATATCGTAATTATGCTTTTGGCTTTGTTATCTAGTTTGGGTTTTTGATTGCTGCTGACCATTAAGCTAATATTTTTGTAACATCAAGATGATTCTTTTTTGAGAGACACTAGCTTAGAGCCCATTTAAAAAAAAATTATGAACATGGTATTATAAAAATTAATCAACACCGATGAACTCACTGCAGCTCTAAGTCTCAGCTGAGAGCTGTCCGGGAGATACTCTCTAGCTTACCTGAATCTAAAGTGTTAAAAATATAACCTCAAGACTAATGTGTGTCTAACCCACACAAGAAAGAAAATGCTTCAAACCCCCCTCGGAGCACAGTGTGGTCAAACACTAATTCCAAAATAAGTATGTTCAGCCTCACTTAGCAAGGGTTTATAAATCAGCTTTTGTTTCATTCTCTGATGTGTGTGAGGGAGAACAAAGCAAATGATAAATTTAAACCATTAAATATAGCAATACGCCTACAGCGTAATGGAAAATTAATTCCAAAAGCTATGCAAAATTCATAGCTTGCGGATTTTTTAAAAGCAGACCAAAAAGAATCTGTAATATCGTGTATCTGTGTGCTGAGCTACTACTTGATAAATAGATACCCCAGAGTCCACCAGTGACTTCTTACCTCAATGTTCAGCAACCAGAACTGTAAGTTTGCCACAGCTTCTTCCCCCAGTGCCAAGTTCCATACCACTATGTACAATGCTTTGTCTGTGAAGAAACACTGATTGACTGTAGACATGCTTGCTGGGCCTCCAATATCCCAGACATTGAACTCCACTGAATCAACCTACTTAGACAAAGAGAAGTGTTCAAATCAAACGGTTGCAGTAAATCACAGGGAGATAATAGCTGAAGTATAAACCTACGCCTGCATAATGTATGACACAAGAAGGGTTTCAATGTCGTAATTGTGCCTCCAGGAAAGAAAAATCAACAAGCAATTGTTAAGCATGGCTACCACTTCCCCACAGGAAATCAAGACTAATTACTTGCTGCTAAAACGATAGAGGTGCCCTTGATGCTGGTAAATCTCCAGTTAATGCTGTGGATTCTCCAGTACAAACAAGGGTCTCATTCTGAGCCCTGTATTTCACTGCATCTTGAATAGAAACTGTTTCATCCTTGTCTGCGCCACGCTCGACAGGACTGTTCAAGCTACTTATCTGCCACTGCTATGGGGAAGAGGAAACCCCCCGCTGAAATCACTTCCACTGAGCTCAGCCCTAACTGAGCCAAAGAGAATATAGATGCTCAGGAGATGGGAAACTTCTCAAGCCTTTCATAAACAGCTCCTGCACGTTGCTCAGAGGCTTCTGACACGTGTGTCACACCAGAGATGGGCCAGAATTACGGCTACTGTAAATCAGACTCACTGATTTTCAGGGGAATGTGTGAATGGGGGCTTCTCTAGCCCTGTCTCTCTTCCAAGTATCTCAGCATCCATTCCTCCGTGCAGCCCCACAACAGCACTAAGAGGGAGCGTGGCTCTCCGCTTAAATGGTATTCAGGCTCCCAGCTGCAGTAGGAAGCACTCACATACCTTGGAGGCTCTGTCCCTAAATCACTTGGCCCTGCCTGTGACTGAGCAGGAAACCAAACCCTGCTCCAGCCACCATCCTCAGAGCATCATGTAACACCGAGTGGGCTCTGTTTACTGGTCCAGGTCCAAGTACTGACTGATCCCACATGACAAGCTACCCTACGAGACTTCAGCAAGGAGCTAAGTATCTTGGTAGGGCTCTGATCTCCTAGCATAGTCTCAGTTTGAAGTTTCCCAGAAACAGCTGGAAGAACTTCCATATTGTTTAAACGACGCCCTAACTAGCACCAGGACTGCTTTGTTCATCCAAAAGACCTTCAGCTGCGGGTGCTTGTATGGAGAGACAGAGACTCAGAGGTAGGAACAAAAGCCCATTCAGCATCTTGATCCCACTCCAGGTCTCTGATGCTGTCTAGGTTTTTATTTTATTCAATTGCTCTTCAACACAAAATGCACAAATCCCTTCTCCCACCAAAGTCTTCTCTTTAAAGAGTCAGGCTGTGCTTGCTCTTTTTCCTTCTGTCTCTGGCCTGGCACTCTTCACTGTAGAATAGCTGAACTCAGCAGGCTCCTCCACCCCTTCCAAAACAGTCTGGTGGTCATGGCTCTCATCCGGGAAGGGAGAGCCATGCGTTTGCACACCCTCAGCTCTGACAAGACCTCAGGACCAATTATGCATGCTCTAATCCCTGTGTTACTACGCAGGCGGTGGACAGGGCCACCTACAAATGCTTGAATGAATTCAATGCTGTCCAAATGAGTTCAGTATGGGTTGACACACTCCCTGAATGAGCCAACTGAGATTTGGGTGTTTAAGGTATGCCTTAGACATCCCTGGATCACACCAGAGGTCAGGCATCCTACCTTCCACCCACCTTCCCCACCAGGACAGTTCTGATATCAAGGGAGTCCAGCTTTAGGTACTGATGTCCCATTTTCTCACCCCAAATGAAAGGACAATCTGCTTTAGAGAAGCTGATTTAAAACATTCTCTCAGAATCAGTGTCCAAAAACCACCCGAGCTGGGAGAGCCAGAATGGCTCTCTCTCTTTAGGATGCAAAGTTGAGTACTCAGGAGAACAGAACTGTCCTCTAGTACCAACTGGATATGAAACACAGGAATTGTTATGGGTCTAAAAACATGTCATTTGCGAGGTCTGGCTCACAGGTAATGGAAACCGTTCTTTGTAAAAAGACAGGCAATTTTAGCCTGAAAGGGACACTGCAGGGCCCAAACATCCCACTGGGGCTAAGAACCTTCGATTGTTTTTCACCTTTGCCTTGTGTCCCACTGGCTTGGGGAGCTCCCACTTTGTTGTACGTATGGTGGCATCGCTGTGCATTATCTGAGGGACTTTTCCTGTCTGTAGGATCTCAATCAGCGTCGACTTTCCCTGTCGTGGAGGACCGATGATGATCATCTTCATTAGCTTACACTTTTCTGCTTTGCGCAGCTGTGCTCGTAAGTATGCCAGCACTGTTTTAGGGCCTATGGGGGGGAAGTGAACAGGCTTTATCTGTGGTTAGCAGTTACAAATGTACATATGTACAGCAGGACTGCACAAAACCTACTGCTGCAGACACATCAGCTGAATTAATATTTTCCCTGCAGTTTCGCTGTGGGCTGAGACAACCCAGAGAATAAACAAAGAAACCTCCAGTGGACAAACCTGAGACAGAGACTCCAGAAAAAGGTCACTGCTCTGAGACTCTACAATGGAGTACATTGAAGAAACAAATGCTGTGACTCGTATGCTTCAGAAGCTCAAAGGAAACATAAAATACTAATTTAGTATCGGAAAATACTCAGTTTTTCCTTCTACTTTTATGTTTCCAGTTAAAATTAGATTTAGGCTTCAACAGTGTGCTGGAGAAGGAATAATTCCTAATAACTTTGTTCCCGCAGGATTTTCTAATTAAAACACACAAAAAAGAAGACAGTATTGTAATAGATCCAAAAACCTAGCAGTTAACAATAAAGTCACTTCAATGTGACTGCGACTGCTGGTCCTAAACACTTCAGTCTTTAGAAAGACCGTCTAAATACCCTAAAATATACACATTCAGGAAGCAAGCCATGGAATTTATCCGGCATGTATATTGCAAATGAAATATGACATTTATAAGTTGTCATTTTAACATGTGATCTATCTTAAATTGATCGTATAGCCACAGCTTAGCACTGACTATCAAATTTGCAAATTTTTAGGAGGTTTCCCTATGCAATTCCAGTTAACCGCAATAAGGGCTTGGGCGTACACTGTCTGTTCCCATTCAGGACCACTAAAAGGAAGCAATTTTCATTATATGTTCAGTCAATTTAATAAAGAACACACAGGATCAGCCTTACCCTCTTTTCTGATCTCTGCAGGAATGTTACTGATATTTAGTTCCTCGATATCCAGCTGCCAGAGATTAGCCAGCTGTCCAAGTTCTGGAGGAAGCTCTCGGATACCAGGGTTACTGTACAAAAACAAATAAGTCTACCAACAACCAGGCTTTGTGTGTAAGTAGCTGCTCTCACGGACTCTCAGATTACACTATTCTCTCCTTGCAGAAATCTTCCATTAACATTTTAATAAGACTACTCAGCACTTTAATAGTAATTTCTATCCTAAAAGTGATGTATAACCTAAATTCATCCTCTGAGGCAGACAAGTGTAATCATCTTTCCTGGATAGTTGAGGAAATAAAGGCAAAAATGATGAGTTACTGACTCTAACGCTATAGAAGCTGACAGCAAAAAGCCAGAATGAACTAGAGGCACATTAGATTCCCAGGCCTGTGTTCAAAGCATTAGATCATCTTCCCTAATTCAAAAGGCTGGCCTCCTCCCTATCTAAAGCAAATGATGGGCACAGTTCTAACAAGAGACTGACTATTTCCAGCTTTTTGACTTCAAAAGCACTGGACATCTGGGGTGGGGCTCCACAGAAGACTGGTCACTAAAACAACATGGAAATAATACTGCATAGCTTTTCCAGGACACGGACTTACTTTCCTAAATAAAGTTCTGTTAAACCTTTCAGAAGGCAAACGGACTGTGGGACAGAGTCCAGCTGATTGTCATTCAGATAAAGGACTTCCAGAGAATCACTCAGAAATGCTGGAAACTCCAAAAAAGGACCTGGAACAAGACAGAAAACAAAATGCACCTTTAAAAAAACAGGCTCCAAGGCTCTGAACCAAAAGCCTTCACCTTAACTTTGTAGGCAGGACATGAGGTCATGTTCTTTGGCAGGAACCACCATGAAGCAACAGCAGAAAAGCAAACGGCCTTCAATGGCAATCAAATATCAATGCTCACATCTCAATTTTTTAAAATCATGGTGATTCGCATGTTTGAAGGTGACAGTCTCCAGGACTTCTGGGGTGCTGAGGGAGGAACTCCAGGCCTGCCAAGATGACTATTCGTCAGAGGACGAGTAGCATTATATTTCTCGCTGTTGAATAGCTGGTAATACCTTGTGAACTGCCCCTATTCCAGCCTAACAGCTGGCAGTGAAAGGGCATACCAAGGGCACAAGTGGTTCTCAACATGTTTTTTCCATGTTGCCTGAGAAAAGCCAGAAGCCAGTCAGAATTTATGTTCAGGCCCCCACGTTGCATCCTGGAACAATTTATGGTGAATCAAAGTCAATAACAACAAAGAAGAAAACCCAAACTGCAGCTGACAGACTGCTAACCTATGTTGCCTCTAAAACACTGCTCACATTTGCCCTTCTGTTCTGTTTTAGGCTGCAAGGTCTCAGGGCACTTCAGACTTCCTACAGGTCTGAGCAGCAACTAGCGTAACCCAAGCAATAATAGCAACAACTGCATGGCTGGGTTGCTGCTGCTGGAGAGGTTCAAACAAAGGGAAATTCAGCTGGTTCCAAAGAGCATCATTTCACTCCACAAATTACTCCCGGGATAGCGGCATGAAAAGATGCCATGAATTGTGTTGCTCTCTTAAGAGTGTCACATGTATCTACCAAGAAGCATCCTGAAGTCAAGGAAAACTAGGCCACACAGGGACAAGCAGATTCTGAGTCTCTGATTAGGAAAGTACAACCAGCACCATCTGCTGCCTCCACGGTCAATAAAAGCAACTCCCTGAGATGTGAGACACACCCTTCCTCAAGGATAGGACAGTTGCACTTCCACCAAGATCATCGTCTCTTACAGAGAAGACTTGAGAAACTGCAATTAGACTTAACCGAAAAAGAAAAAAAAAGAAAAAAGAAAATGGAAGAGGTTTTCTCAGGAGAAAATTCCCCAGTTCTAATATTAACAGCATTTCAAGCCTGAGCTATGATCAGAAAAGGAGTAAGATAGAGTGCCACTGTCTGCAGGGGTGTTTTATATACGTGACAGGACTGTCTAGTGTGGGCAGGGTGTCACAGTCCGCCTTTGAGTTTTCAAATAAAAAAACATCTTTGGGATTATTTTAGGAGAACAGCAGGCTTATTCATGGATTCAATTCACTTCCTTTCCGGCTCATCGCTGGACTTAAACTTTTCATTGTTCCCTTCAGTACGCACCTAGGCACAGACAGATTTAGGTCCCTCTTGGACACGAAGGAGCAAACACCTAAAATAGTAGCAATACTCTCAATTCACCAAAGAGTCCCAGGTGGAAAGGAGTGTACCATATTGGAAGCAAACTCGAGGTGTTTATGAATTGTAATTATTTATTCATGAGTTATTTATGATTTCTCTGGCTTGAGCACAAATTTTCTTTTAAAGAACTGTAGAAAAATTAAAACAAATCCCATCTTGAAAATATATTTTTGGATGAGTAAACGCCACCAACACCACATGCATGTGCAAGAAGTTATTCTGAGATTTATCAATCAAGTATAGTGAGCATCCATAAATTATTCCTTTTAAATAATCTAGACTTAAGTAAATAGCTTTGTTGGTAAAATCATATGAAAACCTGCCCCCCACCTTGCTAGGAGACTTCTGTCAGCAGCTGATGTACTCCAGCTTCTGTTTTCTCTTCATGTTCTTTAAATTCTTGCCCACATACTCTAGTCTCACCAAGCTATACTTGGCAGAGGAACAGAGAGAAAAAGATGAGCTGGCTTTGCTCTGCCTCTGTGGCTATTCAACTGTGGCACCAGCCAGGTGGGCTACTCCGCACCCTCCTGCAACCTGAGGCAACCTCAGGCAGCTCGAAGTTGCACCAGGGTATTACGTGCCAAGGCTTTTCAAATGCAGAGTTCATCCTCTCCTCCTTTATGTAGAGGGGTTATGCTGGGTTTGCAGCATGTAGAAATTTCCATTAGGACAGCAATTCCCTTTTATAGCTGGTTTTAGCTGCCTTTGCCCGCTGCTCCTGCCCTTCTCTCCCCATTGGGAAATGCTGCTGTGGCACTTCACAGAGAAGCTCTGAGGATATGTCAGACTCCACAGATTCACAAGATTCAGACTCCTTTTCCAATTCTTCTGTGTTCAGGATTTCACCAATGTCACAGCATTTCTGTTTCCATTTCCTACTTGCAAAACAGTGCAGACCAACCCTTTCTCTTCCTTAGGGTGCAGATACAGGACTTGCTGCACAGCAGCCTCTACTTCCACTGACAGAAAAATAAGGTAGGATTAGCCTTGCCTGGAGGTCCGGGTAGAGCCTCCGCCTCTCAGATGAGCAGACTGGAGGTAGGACCTCCAGTCCTAACCTATAGCTATGGCTGTACTTGGTGCATTTACCAATTTTACCTATTCACGTTGACCTGAGATTATGCACAATTTTCAGGAGAACTGAGGAAAGCATTTGCTGCAGGAGGGCCTCTCCCTCCCGTGAGCAGCTGAGGGCTGCTCAGATGTGCGTCATGAAGACGCCAGCTCTATTCCATTCTGAGATTTGCAAAAAATGCTTTAGAGCAAGCCATTCTTCAGGCAGCCAAGAATGAGAAAACTCTCCAAGTGCTTTAAAATAAAACAAACAAAAAGAAATGAGATGAATCCCACAGAGAGCAGAAAGGAGTGCAAATATCTTTAGATATTCCTTTGTTCTCTCTGGGATTTCACGTGCACTAATCCAGAACATCTTTTCTGCTCTGCCCCAAACTGTGGGTGCAAACCACAGAGACAGGGGAAAACATGCAGTTTACAAATTCAGCAACAGAAACAATCCTAAGAGTAATAAGACTAATTATGGGTTAATTTCCTTTCAACATACCAGTTAGTACTCTGGCTAAAAAGAATGAAAAGGAAAAAAGCTCAGTGAAAGAAACAGGTTTCACTCATTCTTCATCTTTCTATATTGATGATACCAACCAGCTGCACCATTTCTTTAGAAACATTTTATCTAAACATATTTCCTCTTAATTTAAATGCTGTTGCACTTCAAATTGCAGATGAATTCACACTGATTTCCCTCCAACCTAACTCCACAGATTCCTG